AGATCCTGATGGAATTCCAGTCTTCTGGCACAGGCCTGGCACAAGCCTGGCTCTTGTGGCCATTTAGGGAGTGAATCAATGGTAGAGTTCTGTGTGTGTGTGTGTGTGTGTGTGTGTGTGTGTGTGTGTGTGTGTGTCACTATGTCTTTCAAATAAATAAATCTTTAAAGAGCATACAAGCGCAGAGCTGCTCCCAAAGGTTCATATCAATCCCTTCCAGGAGCATGAGAGTGTCTAAAGCTGAGACAGACGAGAGAGCTAGAGTGACAGATGACAAGTAACTGTCCGTCCCTCACCTGGGGCCTGCAGTTCACCCGCGGCCTCCCTCTCAGCCAGCAGGGCTGGTGAGTGAGTGCTGTGAGTGGGACCCTGGTCCTAACCTCTACCAGTGTCTGCCTCACTAATTTATTCTTCCTTGTGACAGACTCTGTGCGGGTGGAGACACAAGCATTCACGCGGGACTGGGAGGGGGGCTTTGGCTTACTCAGAGTGGCCAGCATAACCCCACCCCCAAGCCACCTCAGGCTGATAGCATGACAGTTTAATTTGTAGAAGGAAAAAACTAAGTAAAGGCTATAATTTACAGTTGGGATAATTGGCCAACTGTTAGGAATAGAAAAAAAAAAAAAAACCAACACACAATCTATATAAAAATAGTATGCTTGCTACGCAAACTCAGCTTTAAGACACAGCCCAGCTGCCACGGTCCCACTTCTCTTCTAAACAGCCAGCTGACCCCACATTTCTTCCAGACAGGCACAGTGGAGCTGCCCCAAGATAAATAGGGTGGGCCAAACAGACTTGGGGTCTTTTCTGAGTTCAGTCCTTTTGCGGGGGAGTATCAAGCAACCAGGCACTTGTGACCTAACACAGGAGAAGCCAGGGCATGCTGGGAGAACAGACGTCCCACCTTTCCAGATCCAGGCTGTAGGCATATGAGCCTTTCCCTGCAGAATCATACGGTAGGTGCCCTTTAAATGCATGCTGAAGAGTTACTTGTGCCAGCTTAGCCGATACTTGAAGCATAAGGTAGAGTGAGCCAGGTTGGCCCAGGAGGGAAAAGAATTTCTAGCAGAAGAAATGCCAAGAGCTCAGAAGCTGTTGAGAACTTGGCTAGTTTGGGAAAGTGAAGCTGAAACTCCTTTCATTTGGTTGGCTGAGCAGGCTTCCCAGAACTGCTGCTTCCTGTGGGGATCTGGCTTGGGAGACCTCCTAGTCTGCTCTCTACCTCTCAGCTGCAGACCGGGGCTGGCAGCATTGCCTCCTCTGTTTGGGGAGGGCAGGGCATTGAGGACTCAAAATTACTCTGCATGATATGACAAGCTCTTTGAGGCCCCAGTGTGCTCCTGGACTTGGCCACCATGGGCTGGTACAGCCTTACATTCAAGGCTGCAGAGGGTGGAGGCCCAGAGAGGGCTGGGCTTGTAACCATCTGGGTTGAGAGGTTCCCTCACCCAAGTTAGCCCTGTCTATGGCCTTTCCCTTGCTGTTTAGGGATGGAGTTGGATGGAGTGAGCAGTGTGGAGGACTGAGGCTTCAGAATTCTGCCTGGGGTGAGGGTGCAGCATCCTGAGCAGAGCCCAACCAGGCAGAGGAGACCTGATAGGGCTGAAGTTGGGACAGAGATGGAGGGAGGAGGCTGCAGGACTTAGGACTGACCCGGAGGGAGGGGTTGAGGAGGCGGGCTATCTGATAGGCCCTCACCTATCAGGATGGAGGATGAAGGATGCTCAGTTCCTAATTAAGCCTAGTTTCTAATTAAGCCCAGCCCCTGTATCTCCTTGCTCCCCATTAGCACCCCACTGCGTCAGTCCCCAAGGCACTCTAAGTTGCCATCCCACTAAAGAATCCAGGATGGCCGCCAGAACCTGCCAATTCTGTCTTCCTCCTGCTGCTCCTGGCATTCTCGGCTCCTGGGGGATCCTTGGAAGCCTCCTGCCCACCTTGCCAGTCCCTATCTCTGAGTAGAATCTGGACTGTTCTCCCATAGGGCCTCTTTCATCACTTCTGGATCCCCACATACTAAGTGAGGACTGGAGGCAGGGTCTCCTGGTAGTTTTGGGAGCAGCCCCCAGACCCAGTGATGGGCTACCAGGCTGTTGGAAACCAGCACCTACCCAGGAGTCTGCATGAAGCAGTAATTACCATTTTAGGTTAAGGCAGGCCTAGTTTGTTAACTCTTGCAGTGCTGGCTCTCGGGGAAGCCAAGTCCTCCTTCCCCTTCTCCCCTACCTCCTCCGTCTCACCTCTGAGACACCATCCCTCGGTTTTGGGAAGATGAGCTACTGAACTAGCCACCCCACGCCCCTCTTCCTACCACATTCTCAAGCCAGCTCAGAGAGGTGGAGCAGCTTATCCAAGGTCACACAGCCATGGGGGGCAGCCACCATCTATGGAGACCCCACCTCAGTTGGTCTCAGCTGCTTCTACCTTCACAATCTCCCCAGGCCACATCCACACATGCAGAGTTTAATTAACTTTATTGATATTCAGAAATTAGGAGAATGACTAAAGGTAATTGCTCATTAAAAATCATTAAACTGACACAGCAGGCCTAGCACACACACACACATACACACACAGTCCCTCCCCTGCGGCCTCTTTCCTCCACTGTGGCAAGATCTCCTGGGCACCGCCTGCAGGTTGGGAGCCCACTGCATCCCTAAAGCCTGAGGCTGCAGAGACAATGGGGGACTAAACCTGGGGGTGGGGCCGGGCCAGCCGCCCCACCTCCCCACCTGGGCAGCTGCCGCCTCGCTGCCTCAGCTTCAGCAACTGGTCCTAGTCCCAGGTGTGAGCACAGCTCCAAGGGCTGTTTTGAGGCCCCAGGCTGTGAAGCTGGGGAACACGCCTCCCCGCAGCAATGGCTGACTGCCCGAGGCCTTTGCTCCGAGTGGCTTGCCTTGGCGCAGCTCAAGTCCTAGGAGCTCCCAGACGACCAAATGTACTGCTTCCTGGTGAGACGCCTTGGCAGCCCAGCTGGGAAGGCAGCAGCTTCTGGTCCAACCAGCTCCAGCCTCCATTTATGCCCTCTCACCCCTTAGGCTTGGCACTGTGGGCTGCTTCCTTGCCTCCCTGGTGGGGCAAAACGCCTTATCCTACACTGCCTTCTGCCTCACAGGTCTGTCCCTTCAACAGATCACCCCACAAGCACTGGAGATCCTGCCGGGTCAGAGAGGGGGACTTGGGAGAAAGACTCAAGGACTGCAGGGGATCTACACGCCTTCCAGCCCTCAAACCTACACCCGCAGCGTGGGAGTGTTCGGAGCTCCAGCCAAGCTAGCCTTCTTCCTGGGGATGGGCAGTCTCCCTTCAGCCCTGCAGGGTGCTCTCTGTTAGCTATTGCACCCCCACACAAGGGCCCCACCCCTACTCACTATTGAGCCTTCACTACCCCAGCATGCAGGCTTTGCAGGCAGACTCCACCCTCAGAGAACCCTGATTACATTCACTTGGAGACAGATCCATATAGCCAAACCCCAGGCTCCATGCCAGGGTCCTGAGCTCCCAGGGAGCTGCCCGGAGGGAGGACGTGGCCACCCTGAGACAGAATCCAGACGCTGAGGGACATCCTAGGGCAGCCTTCCTCCCTGTTCCCCTTCTCAGCGTGTGGCTTGCAGGATTCTGTCTCCTCCCCCAATCATGACCATATGGTCTAAGTTCCCTGTGAGCCTGAGGACTGGACTTGGCTTGGGCAGCCAGGTGGCAGGGTAGAAACACTGGGATGTCTGTGCCAGGGGAGCTAGAGGCTCAGAAACGGGCTTCCACGACACAAGAAAATTGTGCCACAGGAAAATTGTCATCCAGGGGCCAGCCCAGTCCAGTAGTGCTGCGCTGACCTCCAAACCTGCAGGGCAGGGGGATGGGTGGTGGGTGGAGATCCAGCACAGTGGCTGGAAACCCCCACCTTTCTCCCTTCCCACCAGGTGCTATCAACCATACGGCCAGAAATGGTATGTCTCACTCCAACTACAGTTCTGGCCACCTCATCCACTCATCCATAACGACTGGAGAAGGACATGGGTTTCTGTCGGTGTAGCCAAAGCTTGTCTGTGCTGGGACAGCGGATCCTGACACAATTCACACCCCTCACCCCCATCCTCTTCCCAGGCTCATTTGATCCCCACTCCAGGGCTGCGTCCCTCAACCCCAGACCGGTGAAGTTGGGCGCTGGACTCGGAACAGAGGGCTGGGAGCCGCAGGGTAGGGAACCGTTCCTTCCCCACGAGTCTGCTGCCGGGATGAATGGGGGCCAGAAAACAAGGGAGGCCCGGAAGGGAGGCAGAGCTCCAGGCGTGTGCGCTGTGTGTGCCGGCGCAAGGAAGGGACTTCGGGGAGGACGGACGAGCTCAGCTGCTGCAGCTCAGGACACAGAGAGGAGTTGGACGGGAGGCTCTGAGTTTCTCCCCAGAATTGTGCTCCAAGCTCTTTGGCTTTGCAGCGCCAAGGTACAGGGAGGTGAGCGACGTCTCAACCTCAACCTATTTGCTATGTGGTCCCTACCCTCTGCAGTGAAGATACGAGGGGCCCCAGAACCGGCGGCAAAGTCGAGCGAAGTTTGGAGGGCGGCCGGGAAGGCGCGATCACGGTTCGCCCAGCAGGACCGTCCCGACTCACCACCCTGCGTGCCCCCGCGTGCGCCCCGGCGCCCTTAGACGCCTGGAGTGTGGCGAGGTAGCGCGCGGGTGAGCGTGTGTGTGCGGGGAGGGGGGATGGCGTGATGAATTGCAGCAAAGAAATCCCATTAGATCCGGGGAGATGATTAAAGGCGAGGTCTCGGCCGGGCGCGAATGGCGGGAGCCGCGGCAGCTTCCCGCCCGCGGAGCCCTCGCCCCGCCCGGTTCGGCCGGCGCCGGGGGGCAGCGCAGCCGGCGGAGCTCTGTGCTTGGGCTGGGTCTCCCGGTCGCGCGGGGCTGGCTGCCAGAACAGTCCTCTCCGGACGCCCCCCCGGGACCCCACCCTCGCCTCCGTCCCGCCGCCGGACGCCCGGGGTCTCCTACCGTGAGCCAGGAGCGCCAGGAACGAGGGCAGGAGCAGCAGGGCTGCGGGGCGCATGGTGCCGGTGGCGGCCGCGCCCCGGGCGGGGGGCCGCGACTGGAGGGCGGGAGGCCCTGCGGGGCGCGGGCGCAGCGGGGCAGAGCCGGGCCGGTCGGGAAGAGGGAGCCGGGCCGCCGCCGCCAGCGCCTGACGGGATCAGCACCACGGCCAGCGCCTGGCGTCGGCGCCGGGGACCGCCGCGCGGGGCTGGGGGCGGGGGCGCGGGAGGAGCGGCTTACCGTAAAGTCGCAAGCAGAAGCGCAGCGGCCCCAGCGGCAAGGCGCACGGTCTCCCGCGTCCCCGCCAGCCCAGGGGAAACACTGCCCTAATAATGGGGGCACGTGGCCCCTGTCCTTCCGCGCCGCCCACGCTCAGCCGAGTCCCCCATCCTCTCCCCCATTAGCAGATGTGTTTGTCCAGGTATGGGTTTCGGGGATGCCGGGGATGGTTCTAGTCCGATTTTCCGTGAGTGAGAGCAATTTCTCCTCACCTTCCTCTACCCCATCCTGGTACCTGAGGGCGCCAAGGGCGACCTAGGAAGATATCCACGAGTGAGGCAGCTGATGAGGCCCGCGTGCCCTTGTGGCAACTCCGTCCCGGGCCGATAATGAAGATGGCTTTTGAGCGTACAAAGGACAATAAATTATTACTTTGCGCTCAATAAATGCCAGGGCTCCAGGCAGCTGCATCAGCAGCAAACTGTGCTCACAGAAAAGCTTAATTATCCTGATATTATAGTTAAAAGCCAGTGGCACTCGCGTCCTAGGGAGACATTCTTCATTTGGCAGGAGGCAACCTGGGCCAAGCTGTGGGCAGCTGCAGAGTGTCCCCGGGTCCCAGTGGCACGAATCTCCAGGATACTGCCCTGGCTCCTCTGCAAGGACCAGAGAAGCCCCGTTGACAGCTAGTCGGCACAGACTTTTTCTGCCAATCCCTGCTCAGGTCCTTGGAACTGGCAAAGAAAATGAGCCAGGTGTGGGGAGGGGGTCCCCAGGGCTGCTTTAGAAAGAGACTTGAGGGATGCTCAGGGGAGTAGCCAGGGAGGGTGAACCATTCCAAGGAGTGGGAAATAAGCTTCCAGGGCTCTCCACTTGGGACGAGGTGTCCTTGTGAGACAGTCACGGCTCTGCCATCCCTAAGGCCACTGCTAAGACAAGGGTATCCCTGATGAGGGATACCTCTGGGCTCATCAATGGATGCAGGAAGGTGTGGCCCTGTGGCTGATACTCCTAGCATCCTGGGAGACTCGCCCGGAGAAGGGCGGCTTGGGGCTTGATTTATTTCTGATGAACTTGGTTCTTCCTTGATGCTTCCAGTCCCCACTCATTGTCCACTGCCCTTCCTGACCTCACCACCCTCAAGAACCAGGGGGCACAACTTCTGCTGTTATTCGTCAGAGAACTTAAGCCCCCATGACACTCCCTTTCCTTTGGCTCTGCTTGTGGCATCCTTTCCAGAGCCACATTTCTGCAGTTCTGGGGTGCCACCTGAACTGACGTGCACAAAGCCAGGCAGCAGACAGGTGGCGTGCAGCATTAGCGCAGTAGAGACCCTCTGGACAGCTGTTTTGAGAAGCCGAGTACAGGAGGCCAATGGAGAAGGGTGGGTGGCAAGAAGGGTGGCGAATTGACAGAAGGAAGGATCAGAGGTGAGGAGAAGTCAGGAAAGAAGGGACTGTGGAGTGGGACAAAGCATTACCAACAGAGGAAGGGAACAGGCTCAGGGTAGAAGTTTCTGGGGCTGAGAGAAGTTTGGCTAATGTGATATTCCTCCTTTTCTCCTTGAAGCTATTCCTGGACTCTTCCCACACCCTGGGGTCCCTCAGGACTAGACATGGCCCATGGGTGGAACTTGCCAGAATGATTTTTTTTTTTCAGATTTGTATATTTTTATTGGAGAGTCAGGTACACAGAGAGGAGGAGAAGTAGAGGAAGATCTTCCGTCTGCTGATTCACTGCCCAAGTGGCTGCAACGCATGTGGGTGCAGGGTCCCAAGGCTTTGGACCATCTTTGACTGCTTTTCCAGGCCAGGGAGCTGGATGGGAAGTGGAACTGCCAGGATTAGAACTGGCGCCCATATGGGATCCAGGCACATTCAAGGCGAGGACTTTAACCGCCACGCTGTTGCACCAGGCCCACAGAATGATTCTTTTTAAGATTTATTTATTTGGGGCCCAGTGCAGTAGCTACAGCCCTCAACTTGCCTTGCCAGGATCCCATCTGGGCTCCAGTTTATATCCTGGCTACTCCATTTCCCTTTCTGCTCCTTGCTTGTGACCCGGGAAAGCAGTAGAGGTCGGTTCATAGCCTTGGGATCCCAAGTGGAAGACCCGGAAGAAGCTTCAGACTCCTGGCTTCTGATTGGTTCGGCTCCAGCCATTGCAGCTACTTTGGGGAGTGAAGCAGCGGATAGATCTTTCTATCTCTCTTTCTCTCTGTAAATCTGCCTTTCCAATAACACAAAAAATCTTTTAAAAATTTTTTAAAAAAGAAAAAAATGTTTGAAAGTCAAGTTACAGAAGAGAGATACAGAGATCTTCCACCCACTGGCTTACTCCCCAAATGATCTCAATAGCCAGGGCTGGGATAGGCCAAAACTCAGAGTCTGGAGCTTCATCCAGGTCTCCTGTAAGGGTGCGTGGGGCACAAGTACTTGGACCATACTCTGGCATATCAGCAGGGAGCAACCAGGATGTAAACCAAAACCTATATGGGATGCTAGTATTGCAGGCAGTGGGTGACTTTATTGTTTAATGTTATGATATCGGTCCCCACCTGGGTGATTATGGGAATTGTTTCCAATTTTTGTTTATTTGTTTAATTGAAAGGCAGGGTGAGATCAGTCTTCTATCTGCTGGTTCACTTTCCAAATCCCTGCCATATCCAGGGCTGGGTGAAGCAGAAGCCAGGTACCTAGAACTCAACCCATGTCTCTCACATGGGTGTCAGGGACCCAAATAATTGAGACAACAGCTGCTGTCTCCTGGGATACACATTAGCAGTAAGCTGGAATCAGGACCTAAGCTGGGGCTCCAAGTCAAGCACTCTGACGTGGGGAGCAGACATTCTAAGCATATTCTAACTGCTATGCCAAATGCTTGCTCTGGGAATTTGGAGGCTGATGGCAGGCTTATCTAATTCTGCCAACACCTGGGCAATTTGATGAGCTAGACACTAATCATAAGATGGAGGGGAGCAGAACTGGCCAGAAACTTGCCATGTCACCATCCCTACTGCCTGAACTAATTTACACGTGTGGGAATCAGTAGCTTGGGGGGTGGGGTGTAGTGGTGGTGATGGTGGTGGTGATGGTGGTGATGGTGTGTTTATAAGGCAGACTATGAATTCCAGGCAACAACATTCTGCCCTGAGCTCAAAGGATGGGTTCATACTGCCTGATAGGACTAATAATGCACCTGGGCTGTCCCTCCCTCCTAGTGATAGTCAGCGTTACACGTTAGGATGAGGCAGCGCCTGGACAGGTAGGAAAGTAGTGCAGTTTGTCAAATATCCTCCCTCATGCTTTTCAATGGATCATTCTGCCCAGATTTTGGCATTACCCACAAATTAAGAGCAATAAAATGCCCAAGAAGATTTAGCTGTATATAGGATTTGCAGGCTTATAGGCACATTGGGAAGTGGCATGTTGGGGGACTTGCCAGGGGTTCCCCCCTTGGTTTCCTTTTCCCATTTTCTTCATATACCTCAAATGTCTCTTTATCCCCTGTCTCTAGCTTAAATGTCTGTCTTCAAGCAGTTGTGACTCTGTGAGGATATGGGCCATGTTTGTTTTGTCTACCTCTAACCAAGTCTAGTTACCACAGTGTTGCAGATAATCAATATTTATGAATAAATGAGGAGGTGGGGAGCATCTACTGGCAGGTAATTGGTGCCAAATAAGTGCTGTGAAATAGTAAATAGGAGGCAAGTTCTTTTGGGAAGGTCAGTGAAGGCTTCACATAGCAGTTGGGTGAAATCAAGTGAAAAATATATTTAAAGTTATTTTCATTTTACTTGGCTAGTGTCTGTCTATGAGAGATACAGAGACAGAGGCAAAGAGATCTGTCATCCATTGGTACACTCCAAATGCCTGCAGCTGGCAGGGGAGCACCAGGCCAAAGCTGAGCACCTGGAGTTCAGTTTGGTTCTTCCATGTGGGCATGGTAAGGACTTGAGCCACGACTGCTGCCTCCCAGGGTGAGCATTATCAGGAAGCTGGATTAGAAGTGGAGAAGGTGGGGGCCAGTGTTGTGCCACAGTGAAGAAAGCCACTATTTAGGATACTGGCATCCCACTTCTCATCCAGCTCCCTACTAATGGCCTGGGGAAAGCAGCAGAGGATGGCTCAAGTACTTAGGCTGCTGCACTCATGTGGAAGATCTGGGTGAAGATGCCGGCTCCAGGTTTTGGCCTGGCAAAGCCCTGGCTAATGTGGCCATCTGGGAGTTAAAGCAGTATATAGAATCTCCTCTCTCTTGCCCTCCTTCCTCTCTCCCCTTGTCTCTTTGTTTCTGCAACTCTGACTTTCAAATCAAGAGGAAGGACATCAAAGATGAGGGCATGGCTTATGGAAAAGCAGTGGAAAATATTAGGCCTTTGGGGTCAAGGAGATTGGGTCTGGTGGAGCAGCAGGTCCCTGTGGGCAAGCAATAGGAAGGACTGGAACAGGCTGGGGCCAGGCTAGGAGAGGCTTTGTGTCCTCTGAGCTGCAGATATCCCTGGTGGCCCCCGTGAAGGGGTAACCCCACTGTGAAGACCTGTGCATGCAAACAGGGGACTATGAAATCCTTAAAATGGGGTTTGAAGCACCACGGCCAAGTGGGTAGGAACTGCAGAGTTTCCTGCCAACTCAGAAGAGGGGGCTGTCATTGCTGACCAATGGCTGTATTAAGACTGAAAGCAAGAGACAGGAAAGGAGGGTTCTTTAGTCCCTGTGACTCGTGAAGCCCCTGTCCAGGTAGTGCCAGACATCCCTAGAGAAGCCAGCCTTGCCTCAAAACAGCTCATCAATTTGCAGGATCACAGGCACATTGGTGACTTATTTTGAAGTCTCTGCTGGGATGACACTTGCTTTCTGAGCTAGAGAAGGAGAAAATTACTCTCCTCCCCAACAGCTTTCAAGCCAGAGCTCCATCTTCGGTGGAGCTAAAGGAGTTGTGGGGTTTC